AGGTGACTGACCTGCAGACATCTGGGTGCCAGCAGAGGTCTAAGGAAGAGGAAAATTTTGTTTAGTCTGTTGACCCTAGTTGATGTGAGTCTGCTCAAGAGGTTCCTGCAAATGTTTTTCTTTTTTTTTTTAATAAAAAGATTGTTTGATAAACAATCATTATTTTTGTACATTCTCTCCTTATCTCCTCTGGAGAGGCACCCAGAGTTTTTTGTAAAACTCAAGCCTCAAGCAGAATTCCTTTAATGATTAGCATGTCTATATGCAAGACAAAGTAGAAGCTACTAGCCTGAAGGCCATGGGGACAAAGCAGGCTTTAACACCTTAGGGTTAGAGAGGCCAAGCATTTTATTCTGTCACAATAGTATACAAATATTTCAGGAGTATCCTTGGTTTAGTTTCAAGTAGCTACTGCTAAAGGGGACTACTGTAATTTGTTTTGCAACAGCATTAGACAATACCTACAACAATTGGCAGTAGCTATTACCATTTAATTAAATGCAAAGTGCCTCTCTGCAAACCAACAATTCCACTCTGGGTATCTCTATTGAAGAAATAACTCCAGATGGAATCAAGGCAGCACAGTGGCCTTAGCTGGTAGTTCAGTTGGTTAGAACATAGTCTCAATATGCCACAGTTGTGGGTTCATTTCCTGGTCAGGGCACATACAAGAATCAACAGATGAATGCACAAATGAGTGGAGCAACAAATTGGTGCTTCTCTCTCTTTCTCTCCTGTTCTCTCTCTGTAAAGTCAATTTAGAAAAGTGAAGACCAAAAAGAAAAAAGAAATTTAAGAAAAGCCCTGGCTGATGTGGCTCAGTGGATTGAGTGCCAGCGTGCGAACCAAAGGGTAGCCACTTCATTTCCCAGTCCGGGCACATGCCTAGGTTTCAGGCTAGGTCCCCTGCTGGGAGTGTGTGAGAGGCAACAGTTCGGTGTATCTCTTGCATATTGGTGTTTCTCTTCTCTCCCTCTCTTTCTCCCTCCCTTCCTCTCTCTCAAATAAATAAATAAAACTTTTTTTTTTTTAATAAGCAGAGCAGAAGATATTTATTGTAGCATATTTTCAGTTGTGAAAAAGTGAATGTCCATGAACTATGGTGCATTGGTACTGAGGAATGACCTGCAGTAGGTGATCTAGGGGATGTGATGTAGCAACAACTCATATTAAGTGACAAGGGCAAATTGTGAAAAGATACATAGTAGAACATTTATTCAAGAAACAACAAGAGCTTTGAGGACTAAAGCTGTCCCTAACCTTCAGCTCACTGTTTCCATCAAGATGGTTTCTTATGATGCCATGCAGTTCCAACAGGACTGTATTTGGGAGAATGAAGTTGCAAATAACTGTACTATTTCTTTCAGGAGCTTCCTGAGAATCTATTTATCTGAACAATAGGCTACTCAGCTAGTGACCATCAGAGGGAATAGTCCCGTCTCAGAACAACAGAGCTCTAATGAGCACCTTCAAGGCCTGTTTACTCTTCAGAGCTGCTTCCAACCCCTTAGCTAGGGTGTCCATAGCTCCTGAAGTATTCTGTCAGGAGCTCTGCCCAAATATAACCATGCTCCAATATTGGAAGACCCACCTCCAAAGCCTTATAAATACAGGGTGAGGCAAAAGTAGGTTTACAGTTGTTCATATGGAAGTTATATAATAATAAATAATAATGTAAGAACTGTTTCATGTACTCAAAACTATGCACCTACTTTTGCCCCACCCTATATAAACATCCCACCTCCCCCACAATTCCATTTTCAGCCACACAAAATCAACAATCATTTCTTCTTGTTTAAAGATTTTATTTATTTTTAGAGAGAGGGGAAGGGAAGGAGAAGGAGAGAGAAACATTGATGTGTGAGAGAAACATTAACAGGCTGGTTGCCTCTCACATATCCCCAGCCAGTGTCCTGGCCTGCAACCCTGGCATGCGTCCTGACTGGGAATCTAACGGGCAACCTTTTGGTTTGTGGGACAATGCTCAACCCACTGAGCCACACCAGTCAGGGCAACAATAATTTAATTTTAAAAAAATGTTATTTATTTATTTATTTTTATAGAGAGGGGATAGGAGGAGAGAGAGATGAAGAGAAACATCAATGCATGGTTGCCTCTCATGTGCTCCCCCACTAGGGACCTGGCCCACAACCGAGGCATGTGCCCTGACTGGGAATCGAACCAACAACCCTTTGGCTTGCAGGCTGGCACTCAATCCACTGAGCCACATCAGCCAGGGCAACAATAATTTCTTAATATAATCAAATAGTCAAGTGATCACTTTTCCCAATTATCCTCTACAAGTCCTTCTTCATTGCTTTTTGAAGTTGATTTGAATGAAGATCTAAACAAGGACCTCACATTGCAGACAGTTGAGAAGCCTCTAAAGTCTCTTTTAATCTTTGGGTTCTCCTCTGTCTTGTATTTTTCTTCTTGCTGAAGAAACTGGGTCCTTTGTCCTGTAGCCTCACCCAGGCTAAATTTCACAGTTTATAATGTGACAACCACTGGTGGGTATGTAAAATGAAAATGCTTCCTATGAATGATGGGATTTATAATCTTCAGTCCTTTGTAACATTTCTACCATGTATTGCTTTTAGAAGCATTAACTGCTCCCCACCTTTACACACATAAGTGATTGAAGGATCCAGGCCAAATACATTAAAGGGATTACATCCAGCAGGTGCTACGATGGAAGCAGAGGCGGATCAGCACCTTCTATGGACAGAGCACCAAAGCAAGGAGGGAGATCAGAGGGTTCCTTACATGAGGCTGAAGGGAGAGAGCCTCAAAGAACATAAGCAAGGACAGTTTATCTCCCTGGATGCTTCCAACTCCCACCTCCTGCAGGGCCCGGGATGTTATGCACAAAACGTGTGGCTGTGGTACCCTGCAGGAACCAGCAAAGTGGAGACAACCTCAAATGGTGTGGGATACAGGTCTGGCTTCTGCACAGCTTCAGCTTCCTCCATCATTCCTTCTCAGGATCTAAACCACTGGCTTTAAGACTGGAGAGACCAGGAGGGGCTGCAGGTGTCAAGAGCGTACAGGTTCCTTTCAGGATTGACCTTCCCCTGACCCTCTCTTTTGGAGGCCAGGAGGTCTGTAACTGTCTCTACCTCTTCTTCCCTGGACACTCTAAACCAAGGACCACTGCCCAGGGCATCATTACCTCTGGGCCCCAAATGAAGGGACAAGTAGAAACAGAGCTCTAGAGCAAACACCAAAGAGGGTAGCACTTCTTGTTATCCTGATGACAGAGGCTCTAGGCTTCTGTCTGTCTGGAAATCTATGTGTCTGTTCTCTGTTGGCCTTCCTAGAACCAGAGTGCAGAACGGGTAGAGTCGTACTGGTGACTTTATTAACATACTCAGTTGGTTTGGACACAATGTCCACCCTTTTTGCCTAGAGAAGCCCCAGGGAATCTAATTTTCCAGAGAGTTTGACAGTGGTAAGTGGCTTTGCCAATGAGATTATATGAGGCCAATATTTTCCATACATTGATGAATGGAATCTGCAGAGCCAAGTATCTAAATAATAAAATGCATCTGAAATCATATACAATATAGGCTACACTGCAGTTATACCTTTCCAATGATTCACAGGGACTTATTTAGATGTCAAATTAAAAATGTGTAAGAAAAACAATTTTAAAAGGATAGAAAAAATGTGCAAGAGAGTGATGATGGTGGTACAACCTTATGAATATGTGAATATACTAAAATTACACTGAATTGTATACTTTAAAAGGCTGAATTATATTTCAATTTTTATAAATGTGCTAGAGGGATACAGATAAGGTGATGAACTATTAAGGTTGGCCTGGAACTGAGAATGTTGCAAGGATGCAGGACTTTCAGAGCTAGAATTGGGAGAGTCCTGGGCAAACCAGGACAAGTTGATCACAAAAATACAGAGTTTTTAAAAAATTATCTTCAGGGGAAAGAGAGCAAAAAAGTCTGAAGATGTCAACAGCTTTCCTATCAACATAAGACCTGAAACCTTGTAGGCAAGGGGGCCCCTTTGGGGAAGTTGCTCACTTCCTCCTCTCCCAATCTGCATTCCCCACGCCAGGCTCCCACTTGGGGTACATGGACAATGTGTGTACACAGCCCAGCCTGGGCCTGACACTTACTAGCCATCAGTAGGTGTCAGTTCACACTTTTTGAGCCCCACATTGGTGACTGTCCACTTGGCATTTGTGATCTAGGCTCAGGACTTTTGTCACCTGTCCTCCTTCCCCCGGGGCACGGACAAAAGTCCTGTACGTTTAATCTGGCAGAATTTTTATCCTTCTAAAAGGCTCCTCCATCCCCCTCCACCCAGCATCAATCTGGCATGCCTCCCCGCCACCCCCCAGCAAGTTTGAATGCACCCAGCCACCAGCCAGGGTCTGGGCTGTGTTCTTCATGAACAGGACATGATTATTTGCCAAACAGGTTAGCCCACGTCTAAAAATTAATAATGGTTCCTTACATCCCCAGCCTCTACAAAATACAGCCATTGGTGGGATAAGAGATTCCGAGAGTCTAACAAGAGATAAGAAGCGACGATGAAAGCCTATCTGGTCACTCTTATGCGGCGCTGGAAGGCAGTCGTAGGAAAGCAGGGCCCAAATCATGTGGGCATACTACCTGGCACACAGTAGGTGCTGATAAATATTTGATAAACAATCTCTCCACTGCATCCGCTATAGACACTTGGCAGCTATGTGCGGCACCCCCGACAGGTGCACATCTCCCGGACCTGGTCCTGAGGCCAGGTCACAGTAAGACAGCACCAGTAGCATTACGCAGTCCTCTTTCACCAGCTCGCAGTACCTGGTGTCCCCTCCCCGCGTAACAGTCGCGCTGGGAGCGGTGAGCAGGGCTTGAGAGACTCTGGGGACGTCGAGGACGTCCGTGCGCGACCAGAACTCCATTTCCCACAGGCCCGCACGCGCAACTCCATTTCCCACAATTCCCGCTCCTCTTCCGGCGTGGCCGAGGTGCTGTGGACGGTTTCCGGGTTTGGGCCTGGCGCTCCGGTTGTGTCGGTGGTGGCCGCCGAGTGGGACACGGGAGGTGGGAGCTGGGGGAACGGCATGGACGTTTCGGGGCAGGAGGCGGACTGGCGGAGCGCCGCCTTCCGGCAGAAGTTGGTCAGTCAAATGTGAGTAGGGGCCGGAGCGGAGGGCGCGATCGCCGGACCTTTCCCCTCAGCCCCCCCTCTCCCGGCTGGCTAGGCCCGAGTGGGACCCACGGGAGACTTAGGGCGCCGGGACCCGCGGGGGCTCGAGGGCACCCGGAGGCCGAAGGCGTTAGGGACCCGCGTGTGTCCCAGGGCGCCGCCCTCTTCCAGCGGTCCTCTCCGTTCTCGGCCAACACGGACTGCTTGCTAGCGTTCCTGGGGCCGAACTATGAAAACCATCGAGCCTTGGCTTATGAGTCATCGTCTTGAGCTTTCCTACTCGTCATTTGTGCGCTTTGGGTGCAGACTTTCCCCTGTTTTGAATCACACTGAATAAGAAAAAGGAGTAAGGCAGCTCATAGTGGCTTTAGCAGGTCGAGGTGCTTTGTGATTTCTCTTCCAGAAAAGCGTATCAGGGTAAGAGAGAGAGAGAGGAGGGGGTGGATGTAAGATGAGGCTGCGAGGCTATCCACTTGGGCTGTGGGCGGTGGGGACTGAGGATCTACGGGTGTCTCCGGCGGGCACCCCCACTCCACGCTGCCTCCGCCCCTCCCCTTCCCCCGCCAGAGTGGACTTTCCCGACGGGTGACAGGAAGAAGCTGTCAGGAAGCCAACGTCGATTGAGAGGAGGGAGTGAAGAGCTAGGGTTAGTGTCTCGTCCTCAGAGTATCAGTTGCTGAGCCCCTCGGTGCAGGCAGGGGCTGCCCTTGCACCCTAGGCTTCACCCCGGCCGAGCTCCAGCTCTTCAGCACCCACTGCTTGTTTGTTTTTCCCGTCTTTACTGGCCTTACTGGCATGTTGTGCTAGCCACAGATTGGCCTGAGACAGCTCCTGCCTTCAGGGAACTACTGCTACCTGAAAGGAACAGTTGCAGTGTAGTCTTTCTCCTAGAGGAGGAATTGACAGTTTGCTTGAGCAGGCCAGGGGCAGTCCTGTGAAGGGGGCGGATAAGCTGAGTCCTGAACAGACAAGTAGGAGTGTGACGGGCCATCATTCCAAGCGAAGGAGTGGGGAAGTGTGAGCACTGACTGTATGGAAGATATTGCTGTAGGCTGAGAGTTCTGGGGTTTGAGGAATTAGGAGGTTCAGGAGATGATAATGGAATGAAGGTGAACAGGTGCTGACACGTTAGTGCTGTGCTAAGGAACTGAGCCTGTGTTGGCATGTGGCCTGCTTTGAAGTAGTGAAATGCCAGAGTTAGAAAGATCCCTTGAGTCTTAGGAGATGGATCGAGAACAGAGGAAAGAGACCAGTTAGGCCATTATGAGAGTTTTGAGCTCTTGGGGTTTGGAGACCTGTCATTTTTCATCCCTATATTTCCACTGTTAGACCACTGCCTGTCACATGGCTCCATAAAATGGTTGTGGAATGACCTAATCAGGCAAGAGATTATAAAGGCCTGCATTATACGGTGTTAGAAACTGAAAGAGGAAGAGGATTCCAGAGAAAGAGGAGAGTGAGCAATGACAGTCATCCTTGATGACTAACTGGATGGAGGGGGTGGGGTGCAGCAGTGCAGACGGCAGGAAGTGGGGCGGAACTCTGGGTTAGTACAGTGAGAGGAGTGGGGACTGTGGAGGTAGTGGCTCTGGGCACTGCTATGGAATAGTCTGGGGACAAATCTGCAGATATTGCAGAATCAGTGAACATTGGGTTTTTTTGTTTTTGTTTTATGTGCCAGAGTTGTCTGTAGAGGGAGGGCCCAATTTAGGGCTCTAGCAAGAAATGCTCCCAGACAAAAGGGTCCCTTTTGGGGAAGCCCAGGATTTATGAAGTGGAAGAATGAGTTGCAGTCAAAGAAAATGGGGAGGGTAGGGAGTGTCAGAGGGCTGGGAGGGCAATCGGAGAGTTTCTGGGTGTCAGGGACTGACTGGATACCCTATAATTCTGCTTCCTTTTGCTTCCAGGGAGATGGTTCTTCCTCCCGCCCCCCACCTGCAGATTGCTGCTTGTGTATTGGTTTTCTATTGCCACTGTAACAAATTGCCACAAATAGAGCATCTTAAAACAACATAAATTTATTATCTTACAGTTTCTGTAGATTAGAGGTCTAGGGAGGCTCAGCTGAGTCTTCTGCTTAGGGTCTTCCAGGGCTGAAACCAAGATGTTGGTAGGGGTACTTTTCTTACTGGAAGCTCTGGGGTAGAATTTGTTTTCAGGCTCATTCGGGTTGTTGGCCAAATTCGGATACATGCAGCTGTAGAACTGAGGTGTCCTCATTCCTTACTGTTTGTTAGCCAGGGGTCAGACTTTGTTCCTAGAAGCTGCCTGTATTCCTCATGGTTTCTGTGTGGCTCCCTCCAGCAAGGGTAGGTTCTTCTGCCACAGCTCTCTGATTTCAGCAAGAGAAAATTCTCTACTAAAGGCTCAGATCAGATTGGGCCCTCTGTGGTAATCCAGGATGATGTCCCTATTTTGAAGTCTGTAACCTTAATTACATCTGGAAAAGTCCCTTCGGCCATATGAGGTAGCATACGCACAGGTTCCTGGGACTCGCATGGCATGGACATCTTTGGGGAGTTCCGCCTGCCGCTGGCATGAGCAGCTTCAAAGTCTGTCTTCCTGACATCATGTGGGTGTTCTCAGTTCTCAGATTTGTGTTCTCTCTTGGGTTCTCTTTGAAAGTTGTGATCCTTGGGGCTTTGTTTTATTGTGTTCCCAGGGTTAAATAAGAGGATTTGGGTTAGGATACTTGCCACATTCTAGTTTTTTTCCCCTGTGTTTATGCTGTTATTTAAGAGTTGGCCATCTTGGGAAATGTTTTTAACCCAAGTAATTTATAGTTGCGGGAGGTAAAAAAGAAAGCATAGCGAAGAACTGAGACGTTTCAAGGAAGGGAAAGCATCTGAGAGCTGATTCCCTCTCTTTCCCTGGGTCTTGAATAGCTACCAAGAGAACAGTGCTTCAGAGCACAGGCTAAATAAACTAGTTTTCCAGCTCCCACTGAGAAAAAGCAGTTTTGAGTTGGGGCTGGTTAGGAGAGTCCTCACAGGTACTCTCGAGTGTGGTCTCCTCTTAGCCTTCCGCTGCCTCTACTTCATCCGGGCCCATCCTGGACTGCTGCCTGCCTCCCTCCCTCTCCCCTGCCCTGCTGAAAACCTAGCAGTGACTTTTCCTAGTTTTAGAACAAAACTCTAGACGGCCCACTCTCTCAACCCCTCACCATGGCCTGGCCTAGCCACCTCTTCTTACACTCCCCACCCTGTTCCAGCCTCTTGGGCCTTTCAGCTTCCTGAACATTCCAAGTTTCTTCTTTGTTCTTTCTTTAAATCGTCAAGTATTATCAAGTATTTAAGCTATTTGACAATGGATAGACTCCCCACATTATGTTTATGACCAGTTCCTTTTCTTCGTTTAGGTGATTGCTTAAATAAATAACAAGTTCTCGGGACCCTTTCCTGCCCACCTTGCCTGAAGTGGGTGGGTCTCGTGTGCTGTATCTCAGCCCCTTTTAGTTTCACGTAGGACGCCAGTCCTATGAAGCATGGCACCTGGCGTATGGAACGCTTGTTGAGGAGTGCAGGAGTATTTTCCCTCCCATACGGCAGTGGCCTTCTTTACCTGTGCCATTGTGCATTGTGAAGCTCTTGAGCCCCCCTTTGTCCACTTGTTAGCTGAGTGACCTTGGACAACGTGCTTAATGTTTCTGGATTGTCTCCCTCATCTATGAAAGTGACAGGAAGGTCGTGAGGGGGAAATAAGAGACCTCTGCTAGGGCTCAACATCGAATTCCTTGACATCTCTTCCTGGGGCCCTTGCAAGAGTAAGGAGCCTTGGATGAGGAAAGTGAAACCCCCGAACCTGGTTAGGGAAATTGATGACTCTTAAAGGAACCTGTGGGGAGGGTAGCTGTGAAACTGTTGCTGGGTTCATCTTGGCTTTTTGTTGAACTCCCACTCTCTGCAGGACCTCAGGAGAAGTACCCACAAGAGCCCCTGAGCTGGTCTCTGTGGGCATTGGGCCTTTCTTGTGGGATTTTTGGGTTAGTGTTGAGCATGTGTCTGGTCTATAGGCTCTTGGAAAACAAGCGTGTGTGAGCAGGAACCAACATGTACCTGACATACAGTAGGTAAGCTGCTAATGAGTGAAAGGACTTCATCAATCATTTCTTCCCAATTATTTAAAATTTTTCTGCTATCTTATTTTTGAAACTTTTATGCCTCCCACCCTTCTGTAAGGCAGATTCCATGTATAGACATGGAATAAATAAATGTCTGTGGGGCTGAACAGATTGGAGAGCGGGGGAGACCCTGAAGGGACGACAGCCCCTGTATCAGGGTCCTAGTCAGGTGCTATGAGGGGCTCAGGGAACATGGAGTGGAGTCAGGGAAGACAGGCCACCCACCTCTTCTGGCAAAGTGCCCAAAAGAGATAAGAGCTCCAGGTTGAGGATGTAGGAGATGCAAATTTTAGCCTAGGCTGTGAAGATAAAGTCGAGTACTGTACAACCAGAAACAAAGCAAAGCAACAAACAAACAAAAACCCCACACCAAACAAAAGACCCCAGAAGAAATAAAGAATAAACTGAACAGCAACTTGCAAGTATGTGGAGAGGCCTTCAGAAGGATGGGGAGTGCCCTGAAACTTGCACGTCCAGATCCTGCCTGTGAGTTGTGGTCCCTGCCACAGGCAGGAGCTGATTGGCCCAGCTTTTTCTGTGGCTTATTCCACTCAGGCCTCCCAACAGCGCTGTGCCCTCCTGGTGCGATTCCGGCCCTTGTTTTCCAGTGGGGAAGCTGCTGAGCCCTGCTGCTTTCTTCATAGCCTGGAGGTTGTCTAAACGACTGGGCTGGTTTCTGTGAATAACCCACTGCTAGAATGTCCACTCCCTGAGTCCAGGGGCCCTGTGTGATCAGCCTCAAGCCCCAGTGCCCCTGATGGCAACCAGGAACTGATTATTAAGACGCTGACTTCAGAGTCCTGATCTTGGCTCTCTACTGCCTCTAGACCAGGAGTGAGTGACCTGAGGGGATGAAGTCCTC